TCTAGATAAAAACCCATAAAGAGATGACATCAACAAACATTAAGAGGCAGTGTTAGTGCCCTAGGGGGATGAGATCTAGAAAAGGCTTTGATCTGCCCAGCTTTCAGCATGGATTGCAAGCTGTGGCTGCTCACAAGACTCACAGTGCTGTTGCTCTGCGTATGGTGAGGCCAAGTGCTGTACCTCTGGAAGCGTCCTCCACCATCCTGCAGGCTGTGTCCCAGGTCAGATCCATGGCCTGGGCAAGTGATAATGGCATCAAAGCCAGGCAACAGGAATCCTCCTAAGATGTCAGCACTGACTTTTCTTTCCAGCCTTTAGAGAATTTCTTTCTTGAAGCAATCAAATGCCAAAGCTTTCATAATGTTTTTGCTGTGTTTCATTGCGAGGTGCCTCAGTCCTCTGACATGTGTGAGGCACAGAGATAACACATGTGTGGTTATTTCAGCACTCACATGATCCTTCTGCCATCTCCTTGGCTGCTCTTCAATTTCTTCTCTCTTTGCACCTCACTGGATGGCCTCTTCCTGATTGATATTGCTCTTCCTCTTCAAGACCCACAGCCTTACACGAGGAGATAAAATAAATCCCAAATAACCAGATTCCAGACTAAAATGGTATAATTTGGTCCACTGTGAAAGCAAAGCAAATAAACCAAATAGGTCGAAAGGCAAGTACCACACTGGGAGTGCTAAAGGGCAGTGATTTATCTGAAACATCATTTTGAAAGAGTTAGATATAACCCAAAATACTCCAGCATCTGATGATCCAATAGAAAAGAAGCAAGCAGGATTCCATCTGCCTGCTTTGGTGAGCAACAGATATTCTTAAATCTTTTATCTTTTGTATAGACCACAGTAAAACAGCAGATCCATTAATGAGAAGACTCCCAGTACTCTTTCCATAGGGAGCATCTGATTATTTTTGTACAGCTAGCAATGCTTCATTGAGCACCAGCTAATGCATTCCTGAAGGCAGGGGGGAGGAAGGGCAGCTCTTACCTCAAAGATAGCATTCTAAGTACCTCTTATTCCTATTTCATGGTGCTGCAGAGGCCTTTATCCTCAGCTGATCATTCTAGTGTGATTTTTAACAGGGTTTCACTCTCCTCTCCTCTCCTCTCCTCTCCTCTCCTCTCCTCTCCTCTCCTCTCCTCTCCTCTCCTCTCCTCTCCTCTCCTCTCCTCTCCTCTCCTCTCCTCTCCTCTCCTCCCTTCCCTCTTCCCTTCCTCCCTTCCTCCCTTCCTCCCTTCCTTTTTAATTTTGAATAATGCATTTGCCATGCAGCAACATGCTTTCCTTGTTTGTTTCTTGGAAAAATTCAAAACGTATCCTTTTCATTGGAGGTTTATTTTAACGACAAGAGACCCTGAGAAGCAACATGAACTAAAACGACTCCTACACTGCAACCAGCGCTGTTATCAATGTACCTCAGCTTACCAGGATGCAGCTAGTAGTGTACAGACTGCAGCAGAGCTACAAGTCCCCTGTCATCCTGCACACGTGTGAGCTGAACCCAAGCCTATGCTGCTGCTGTTATCTTTAATGAAGTATGCCATGCATTTCTCAAGTCACAGCTCTGATCTCACACAAGACAGTTTAAGATAGGAAGTAGCTGCAGTGACCTTGTCCTAGATAAATGTACATGAGATGATCAGTTGTACTGTGCTGTAATACAATGGTTTTGGTGTTACATCACCCTGCAGACCTCCAGATTTAGACATGCATTTTGATGGGGTGGTTTTAAGGATGTTCTGCATAGTTCAGAGGTGTAGCTCATGGGTTTAGGAAGAAGGGTTTTGCATGTACCAGCCTGAGATCTCAGTCTTTGATACAGATATATACAGAGAAAAAAAAAAAATCCTTCTGTAAATTCCTCTGGTTTTACAGCACTTATCTGTTAAAAGCATTAAGACTCAAATCATGGAGTTCTTAATTAACTGTTATCAAGAAATGGATGACCTGTCAGCAAAAAGTGAAGCTCATGCTGTGTGTTCCTCAGCCCCCTCCTTACATGCTGTTACAACTTCTGCATAAAAACTGAAGTGCTGCCATCAAAGCAGCTCACATTATGGCAATGGGTGAGGTGGGGAAAAATAACGACCATGGAGGTTTCTCGGTAAACCTGTAGAACAGTTTTGTTCTCTTCCATCTTCCCAAAAAGACGATTTTCAAGGACGTGGCAAAAGGTGAGAAAGGCCGTGGAGAAGGGAGCTCCCCCCAATTAAAAGGCCCCCACGCCCCCCCTGGTGGGCGAAATATGAAATATCACCGACATTCCCGATGGGATTTTTGGCCCTTTGTGGAAACCTTTGTTGCTCCTTTGGGCAATTCTGGTCTATATTGGAGTGCTTCCATACCAGCAGGTACAAATGTACACATGTGGATATGAAACACTTCCCTGGCATGTATCCCTACAAGCACTGAGACCTGCATGCCAAGCAAAAAATCTGTATTTTTATATACCAGCATAGGATTTATTTCAACAACAAATCTCAACCAGTTCATCAACATGCAAAAGATTCACTAAATCTACCCAGAGACTGAGCAAATATTTCAGATAATACAAGTTTTTGAATGCTGGCATGTGTTCCCTTCTCCCACTGCCTTCTATTTTTATTTGTTTTTAGCTAAAAGCCTTCTGAGGTTCCTTAGGGTTTGCCTATGTGACAAAAGGAACACCTGATAAATTATAAAGCTCCCTGTCCTGAAATAACACTCCCTTTTCATGAAGGAGTCCATCTAATACCTAAAGGGAGCCTACAAACAGGAGGGGAATCAACTCTTTGCAAGGCTAGATAACTGCAGGACAAGGGGAAATGGTTTTAAGTTGAGGGAAGGAAGATTGAGGTTGGATGTCAGGGGGAAGTTCTTTCCTATGAGAGTGGTGAGGTGCTGGAACAGCTGCCCAGAGAGGCTGTGATGCCCCGTCCACCCCTGGAGGTGTTCAAGGCCAGGTTGGATGGGGCCCTGGGCAGCCTGGGCTGGGGTTGGTGGCCCTGCCTGTGGCAGGGGAGTTGGAGCTTCATGATCCTTGAGGTCCCTTCCAACCCAGACCATTCTATGATTTTATGATTCTGCCAACTAAAATGACTGTTCTGTTGGAAGTTGCTTTCAGTATTCCTAAACTCTTGTTTTGTCTCTTGTTTCCCTAAACAGGATAAAATGGAAACACAATTGGAGATCTCTCAGTTATTGCTTTTAGATACTCTGAAGATACAAATGCATACTATTTTCTCCTTCCCTTCCCTTCCCTTCCCTTCCCTTCCCTTCCCTTCCCTTCCCTTCCCTTCCCTTCCCTTCCCTTCCCTTCCCTTCCCTTCCCTTCCCTTCCCTTCCCTTCCCTTCCCTTCCCTTCCCTTCCCTTCCCTTCCCTTCCCTTCCCTTCCCTTCCCTTCCCTTCCCTTCCCTTCCCTTCCCTTCCCTTCCCTTCCCTTCCCTTCCCTTCCCTTTCCCAAGCACTCAATCCTGCTGAGTGCCATCCACATTTCAGGAGGCAATCTTTGCCCTATTTGTTTGCCTGTAGAAATGTCTCACCCTAAGTACAAGCTGCCCAGATGGGAAAACATGTTCTGAAACCACAGAACACAGACTTCATTCTGAGACTCATGTGGCCTTTACTATGCGTGCAGTACAGAAGGTTATTTCCGAGCACTTGTACAGAAGCTTCGGAAAATGATGCTCTTCCTTTGGAAGAGGAGTGGTTTTTCCCCCCTTTCTTTTTGACAAAAAGCAGAAGGCTGCTTGGCTGCCGTTTGTGTTCAGCGAGCAGTGCCAGAACTGCTGTGACCCAGAGGCAGAATGGTCCCCCCAAGTACTGCACTTCAGTAAGCGATCTGGGGGTGCTGAGGGACCATCCCACATGGCTGCTGTCCCCAGGACAACAAACTTCACTCCTGAGCGGGAGCCAAGTGTGCTTCCTCTGCTCTTTCCAGTTTTCAAAATGAGCCAAAGTCATTCACACAGAGTCACACAGAATCACAGAGTGGCCAGGGTTGGAAGGGACCTCAAGGATCATGAATCTCCAACCCCCCGCCACAGGCAGGGCCACCAACCTCCACATTTCACACCAGCCCAGGCTGCCCAGGGCTCCATCCAACCTGGCCTTGAACACCTCCAGGGATGGACGGGGCATCCACAGCCTCTCTGGGCAGCTGTTCCAGCACCTCACCACTCTCATAGGAAAGAACTTCCCCCTGACTCCAACCTCAATCTTCCCTCCCTCAACTTAAAACCATTTCCCCTTGTCCTGCAGTTATCTAGCCTTGCAAAGAGTTGATTCCCCTCCTGTTTGTAGGCTCCCTTTAGGTACTGAAAAGCTGCAATGAGGTAACCCAGCTACCTTTTTTTCTCCAGGCTGAACAAGCCCAGCTCCCTCAGCCTGTCTTCATAGTGGAGGTGCTGCAGTCCCCAGTCATCTTTGTGGCTCTCCTCTGGACTCTCTCCAACAGTTCCCTGTCTTTCTTGTACTGGGGGCTCCAGACCTGGACACAGTACTTCAGATGCGGTCTCACAAAAGCAGAGAGGGACATCACCTCCCTGTCCCTGCTGGCCACCCCTCTTCTGATGGAGCCCAGGATCCTATTTGCTTCCTGAGCTGCAATGCACATTGCTGCCTCATGTTCAGTTTTTCATCCGTCAGGACCCCCAGGTCCTTCTCTGCAGGGCTGCTCTCAAGGACCGCTCCTTCCAGTCTGTAAAAATGCCAGGGATTCCTCCGGCCCAAGTGCAAAACCTTGCACTTTGCATCCTTCGTTTGCCTACGATATCTTTTCAAAACGCATTTTCTCCAGGGCGTAATAAACCCCGGAAGAATAGGATTCGGGAAAAGCGTCGGTACAGCGAGACTGAAGGCACTGTGCCCGGCGTTAAAGCCTTCCCAAGGATGCTGCTGGGCTGCGTAGCGAGCTCGGAGCGGTGCGGGGCTGCCCGGACAGAGCCGTGCGCTCAGGGGCGGGGTGCCGGGCCGGGTTGGTGCGGTGCGGTGCGGCGGCGGTGCCGGCACATTCCGGGCAGGCGCACTGAGCTGCGCGGGGCGGCGGCACTGCGAGTTCGGAGCTCATGGAGGTGACGGAGCCGCAGCCCGGACCGAGCCCCGCTGCGGGGCCGCAGCCGGGAGCCGAGGAGATTGACATGTCCCTGGGTACGTGCGGTGATTGGGGAGCGGGGCTCCGCCGGGCCGGGGTTGGTGGGGCAGCGCGGCTTGCGCTGGGAAATGGGGTGCGGGGTGTTGGGAGGTGGTGGGGGTGAGCAGCGGGGCTGTCGGTGCTCCCAGCCCAGGGAGGGAAGCGGGCAGGGAAAGGCAGAGCCATGGGGGTGGCTGGAAGCACGGATTCGGCCCCGTCTCGGTGCTTTTCTGGCAGCACCCCGTAACTTCAAAGGGGAGAGGCTTACGTAAATGAGCCTCTATTGAAATAAAGATATGAGCCATATCCTCGGGTGTGCGGCTATTTATAGCAGCTTGCTCGTGATGCTCGCCATTCCTCTGGCAGCAGAGATGTGAACTGTGCACAAACAACTGCCCTTTTATTAGCTCTGAAGGCCTGGACTCCAGGGCTGGGGCTGTAGATCTCAGCGGATTGTCGTGTTGACATCGCCGAGGAAGGAAAGTCCTCCGGCATCTCTTAATGTTGGGTTTGTGTCCTAACACAAACCGTGTGTCATTTCTTCCCAGCGATGAGCCACTTGCTGGGGATAGCACAGCATATTCTCCTACAGATTCCTTGGTGCTGATGCACACTTATTTTAATGGCAGCATGAAGATTTTCAGCAGGAATTTGTCTGCCCCCTAATTTTTCATTTAATTTTTTTTTCCCCATGGTGTTGCCACCCTTGAAGATCTAATTCTGTCTTGAGGGCATCGGGGTACCTTAAGTGACCTCCCAGGATCCCTCATTTAGTACCCTCTTACATTGCTCTGTTAACCCCCATCATATTGATGGGAGAAGTAACGGTAACAACTGATATCCAGAGAACTGGAAGGCAATGGATTGGGCAGCTGAGCATCCAGCTCCTCTCCATTCCTTGCGAGCCCACACTGACAACCTCCTTGCAGAGGAGGGGCTGTAGGCTTCAAAGCAGCCTGTGCCCCAAATAGCACATGTCCCAGAGGCACACTTAGCTGGGAACATTAGCACATTCATACCCAGAGCATCGCTCAGTCTCTCCCAACGTGCTCTCCTCCTGGCAGACTTGATAGAGAAATCACAAAAGCAGTCACGCAGCTTATTCTTACATCTGCTCTCATTTGCTTTCCCTGGGCCTTATATTAATTTGAACATGGGATTTTCTTGATAGAAAATGACAGGTGACAAGCACTGGAGGTAAGATGTGCTGTTTGTGATAATAGCCCTTTGAAAGCTAATGGCACTTCTGTGCTTCCGCTCCGGTGGTTCATTAAGGAGCTGGAGTCATTGCTGCCTGGGAAAAGGCCTGATTGAGATGCTTCTTTCCTCCCTAATTTGGCAAAAGGTAAAATGTTTTGATTGGAGCTCACTAGATGCAGCTCTGTTACTCACTGAATATTTTCTGGGAGGTCTGAAGTTAAAAGAGAAAATTGCTGGAAAATATGAATTGATCAGGAGACGTCCCTTTGCCTTCACCATTCCTCTTCATCAAAACAGCTTGAATTAAAAAGACCTCCTTGATTTCAAACCAGCTCAATGGGAACCAAAGAGTTCCCATACTCTACCACAGAGTATGTGAGAAGCGGAATCTACCCAGATAAGTGAGAAAATCAAGAGTTAGCTGAAGATTGTGGCACTTAAAATACAAAGTACTTCTGATATTCATGGTGTGTGTTGCTTTGATCTGATCACATCTATAGCAGTGTTGTCTTTGGAAGATGGGAACCGAAAGGAAACCATCATTCATGGCGAACAGTGAGTGTCTGCAGGGCCATGACATCCCCTCCTCTCAGTCACCCTGTATAAGTGAGGTTGCTTCCCTGCACCAAACCTTGGTTTTCCCATTTACAGATTTAGGGACTGAGCAGATTTTCACCCTGCAGTGTTTGTACAACCCACAAACAGCATTTGTATGGGTTGTGCATCAGGGGTTCCCATGTCTGGCATTGTTGCTCTTTGATGCTTTTGCCCATTCTCCCCCCTTTGACCACCTCCCAAGTCAGACCTCCACCAAAAATGTTTTCTGATGAGCACAGTGTTGGTGTCCATGGAAAAATCCCTTCCTTTTTGTGGGCAGTCTTGGGGATTGGATCTTTCAGTGGGACATTCCAGGCTGGATGTGGCTCTGGGCAGCCTGGTCTGCTGGTTGGCAGCCCTGCCCATGGCAGGGGGTTTGAAACTAGATGATCATTGTGGTCCTTGTCAACCCAGGCCATTCTATGATTCTATGACATGGGTCTGAAATCTCCATCCTGCATGTAGTGAATACGTGCTGGATGGAGACATAATTCACTGTGCTCTAATCTCCAGCATGCAGTAGCCAAGCAAGTGGAGCCTGTGCTTTCCTAGCTGAGCTTAATCTCATTGTCTGGCAGCATCACTTACAGAACCACCAGCCTTGTTTTCACCATGGACAATTCCAAGCACCAAAAATGGGAATGACTTTGGTAGAAAGTGCAGCTTTGATAAATTTCCCCTTTGTGGCTGTGATTTTAGATGACATCATCAAGCGTCACAGGAAGGAGCAAACAGATGCCAAAGCTGCAGGGGACGGCCGGAGACAGCAGACCAAGAACAGGAATTTGGCATATGGGTTCGGGCGGCCCCGCTCCCGTGCCTGGATGCAGAGGAACTTGCAAGGTATGGGAGTGCCGTGGGATGGCAGAGATGGATGAGGGGGGATCTCCTTGCTGTTTGTAAATATCTGAGGTGCTGCAGTCAATGGGACCTCATGATCCCCAGAACCCAACCCCTGTGGTTCTGTGATTCTATGGGATTCTGTGAAGCTGCATCACTGACCTGGAAAACATGTTTGTGTGACAAAATCAGCTCCTAAATCCTTCTCCTATCTAATTCCTGCGTGCATGTAATATGCACTTGGGTGCTGAATAGCTTTTCTCTCTGCAACAATAGAGTAACAGGACCCTTTCAGAGCATAAATCCATCCATTTCTCTCCCTTCCACCCTCCCATGAATTACTAATTCAAAGTGACTTAATATCTGTTCTCTATTCCCTTTGGCTTTGCATATTTTAATTATGCCTCTTCTGAATCCTCTTTTTCCCAGAACACATTTAAATTACCCCTTCAGTAACTGCCTTTGATAGCTCCGTCATTGGAGCTAATTTATCACTTTCGCCAACCATGCTATTTTTATGATGAGTTTTTTAATAATGCCGTGTGATTACACACTAATCTCTATTTGGTTCCACTAGTTTTATCTTCCAGACTAAGGAGATCTGCTGCATGAAATGCCATCTTTGTTTACCATCTTTTTCTTTTTCTTTTTCCTGGCTGCTGAATCACCTCGCTGGAGATTTTAGTGACATTTTGCAGCGACGCCTTTGCATTCATCCCCTTGAGTGCAAATGGCACACGAGGACAGGAGGATCACTCCCAGTTGTCTCAGATCCGCCTCCCACTCTTGCATTCCTGCTTTCCGCCACACATTGCCTCACTGAGATTTGTCCCAATTCAAAACAGTGCTGATATTTCCCCTTTGCAATTTGATTTCTCTGTCCAAAACGGAACGTGGGGTTTGATATTCTGCTGCTACTCAGAAGTCAAACGTGGGCTGTTTTTGCAGCCAACCTTAGAAAGCAGAAACTTTTGTTAGTCTAAGTATTTTATAGGTTTAACCGGGCCTGAATTCAGCCCTGTTCAGGGCAGGGATCCACTGTGCTCTGCAGAGCTGATGTCAGGAGTAATTTTAGGCAGCTCAGCATGGCTGGGAATTAAGCCCGTAATTCTTCAGGGGCCTCATTCCTCTTCAGTCCCTGCTGAAAGGCAGCCCCTCGTGGGCTGAGATGTGATAACTGTTATCAACACGCCGATCAGTACAGCACAGCACAGTAATGCCAGAGCTTGGGGAAGGTATTATGCTGATGGGAACAGCAAGAGAACTCATGCAAGCTCTTATCTTTCCTGGAATTCAGCTTAAACCATCTCCCAGTGGTGGGGGAGAGTGATGATTTTCAATGACAAGAGATTCCAATTTCCAATCTCCTCTGAGAAGTGGGCCTCGGGGTTTCTCCCCAGCCTGGCTAGTTGGGCAGAGAGACTCCTGGCCTTCAGATGTGTGCTCAGAGCCAGGTTCTGAGCCTGCACCCCCAGACAGGGTGCTGACACTGGGGGATTTTAGTCAAGAGCTCTTTGATTAATAAATTGTAGAAACATAGAACAGCTTCGGTTGGAATGGACAAGATCCATTTCTGTCAACTGCTGTGGTCTGGGTGCCCCCCAGTGGATCTGATTGCCCAGGGCCCCATGCATGGCCTTGGGCACCTCCAGGGATGGAGCACCCATAGCTCTGGGCAGTGCCAGGGCCTCACTGCTCTCTGGATAAAGAGACTGACATCTAACTAAAATCTCCCCTCTTTTAGTTTAAAGCCATTCTCCCTTGTCCTGTCACTATCAGACCATGAACAAAGTCACTCTCCCATCCTGTTTATAAGCTCCTTCAAGTACTGGAAGGATGCAGGGAGGTCTTCCTGAAGCCCTCTATTGCCTGGGCTGAGAACGCAGACATTTTGCAGAGATGGAGCCTCCTGTGTGCCACATGTCAGGACACATATAGGACACATATACGAGGAAGCCCTGATCCCCAGCTGGCACAAACAGGCTGCCCTCAGAGCTGCTGGCCCTGCAGTCAGTTATATGCATGGGCTGGGATGCGCCTGAGCGCACTGCTGAGCTGCAGCTCTCTAATAGGGGCTGATGGACAGCAGTGTGCTTTGCTGCTCAGGGTTGCTTTGTGCATCCTATTGCTCTGTGGGAAATCCACAGATGGGCTCAGTCTCTTGCTGGAAAGAAGATGTTGTGTTGATAGAAGACCCTAACCCTAATGCTAACCCTTACCTTGTAACTGGTGTCAGCATGCTCTGTGTTTCACCCTGGGGCTGGAGCCTTCATTAATCACCTGCTGCCATCCTTCCTCACAACACTTCACTTCTAATTGCTCCAAGTCATTATAAATGTAGGAATCGATGGAGTGGGATCAATGCACACATCCGAGCATCCCATGGTCTGTGTCTCTGAGGTTCTCGTTGGTGTGGGGTTTTAATGCATGGTTACTGCCTGCTGAAATTCACTGCTTTTTTGCTTGATTTATGCACCCCAGTGGGGGTGTGCGCAAATTTCACTGATGGAGCACCTTGGAAAATGGCTATTTAATTATGATACAGAAGTTTATCTTATGGAGTAATTAGGCTTTAATGCACTGTGCCTCTCTGAGTGCTCTCCTCTCGATGCTTCAGCAACACTCAGAATTCATAAACAGGCGTAGGGGAAAAGTTAAATGCGAGATGAGAGGTTTCAGTGTATACACTGTGCATTAACGTGAAGAAGCAGCAGAAGATGCTCCCTTCAATCCCTGCAGTAAGGATATTTCAGACCGAAAGAAAATAGATAAGGGTGGGCTGATCCTCCCCAGTGGAGTAGTGTGGGCACTCAGAGCTGCTCCAGCAGCTGTGGGTTTGGCTCGTGGGTATCTGAATCACTGGGTGTCTGTATGGAAAGGCTTTTCCATTTCACAGTTAATTCATGGCCATGTGAGCCCTGACGAGAGATTGACAGCTTTCCTGATGCGAGTGTTCCTCCTTTATTAGCAGCCAGGACTGTGGAAGGCTTTTTTCTTCAAATGATGTATTTGTCAGTCGCATGGATTGTGAAAATGTTGGAGTGAGATATTGGAAATTATTTTATATTGTGCTAAATTGATTTCCTTTTCAGGACCAAATTAGAGTGATTCTTGTCACGCTGTTTATACAGATACTCCTATATCATCCTAAGGCAACCTTGTAAGACATCTCCAGAACTGAACCCTGACGTGAGTTTTGAAGGTCACTGACACATTGTGTTTGTTATCTTAGGACCCAACCGTTTTAGGAGAGGCTTTGGACAACAACAGAACAACCGACGGCAATTCAGGAACGCTCTGCCCGGCCCCAGGAGAAGAGCAGCTGCTGCACTGAGTGGAGTGAGCCCTTTAAATCGCCCAGCATCAGCTCAGGAGGTATGGGAGGAAAAGAGTGCAGCTCTGCCCAATGATCATGTAGTGGTTGGCTGGGTTTTCTGTTCCCGCGTCACCCCGAAGGACAATCAGCATAAAAAATGCACAGGCACAGTCTTTTATGTGCCCATGTACAGCATTTGTATGCATAGGTGAGCACACATGCATGCAAACCAGCAATTTTCCCATTGGTTTTATAAGCATAAAGCTTGGCATGTTCATCCTGAATTGGATTCTATGGGTGTAAAGAAAAAAAGTGTCCTTCAAAGATTTGTTTAATTTTTTAAACTATTGCCATAAAATCCAATTCCTCACCATCCCCATCTTCCTGTTCTTATTTAGAGGTGACATGGATATGGTTATGGATGTGGTTCCCATATTATCCTTTAGATAATAGGGAAGCAAGATGACACAAAAGTGGTTTTAGTGGAAATATGTTGACGCCTTTCCCAGAGTTTATCTCTAAGTGTCACTAAGATCCATCTGGCTTGGTGTTAATAAAAGGTGGAAATTGAGCAAGTGGACAAGTCCTCTGGGAGAAGAGGTTGTAAAAACTCAATTAGGAGGTCACATGTGCTCAGTGAGCTTTTGGAAACGCCAAAATGGTGACGACAACTTTAATGGCTGTGTCCAGGAAGTGTGAAGCAGAGAACCCCAAAGTAAGCATGCATGCACACGGAATGTGGTTATTCTTGAAAATAATGACTGCAGTGACTCAGATATGTATGGAGTGTGGCTGGATATTAGCAGAAAGCAATAAGCAGTTGCTAGGAGGCTTAATTCTGTGATAGCTTCCTTTTTTTTTGTAGGAGTAAACCAAGTGGGAAGGATGTGGAAACACATCTGAATTATTGAATAGCAGCACTGATGGTGGCTGTCCCGCAGAAATTGACTGAGAGGCGTATGTGGTTGTTTGTATAAGGACATGCAGGAGAACTGTGCTGCTGATAAGAGCCTTCTGGTGCTTCAGGCATCAGACATTTCAATTCTTTGAAAGGCTAGATAACAGCAGGACAAGGGGAAATGGTTTTAAGTTGAGGGAGGGAAGATTGAGGTTGGATTGCAGGGGGAAGTTCTTTCCTATGAGAGTGGTGAGGTGCTGGAACAGCTGCCCAGAGAGGCTGTGATGCCCCGTCCATCCCTGGAGGTGTTCAAGGCCAGGTTGGATGGGGCCCTGGGCAGCTTGGGCTGCTATGAAATGTGGAGGTTGGTGGCCCTGCACGTGGCAGGGGGTTGGAGCTTCGTGATCCTTGATGTCCAACCCTGGCCATTCTGTGATTCTGTGTCTGAACTGGAAAAGGCCAATGACTGAAAACAAACCTGAGGCTATAATGTGTTGTGTGAGATTTGTGGTCCACAATTTTAGTTGTTTTTTTTTTTATTTCTATACTGTTAAGATGAAGCATTTTCCCTCCGACTTGTGGTGTCATGCCCAGGACCTGCAGTACATGTTCCAGTCATTGTCAACAGTGTGTCACAAATCCAAAAGCTGAGAGTGCAGCAACTTGGTAGAAATATTCCAGCTATAGTTGCTAAAGACCATGGCAGACACCAGGTTTGAGTAAGTTTGGTAGGGAATCAACTTCCCATTAAGAAAATAACAAAGTCTTTGCTGCAAGACCGCAAAAGCTGCAAAGGAAAAAACTGTTGTGAATGGCAATATGGGAATGGAGGGCAGAGAGCTGAAACCCCTCTGCCACAGCAGTACCCAATGCATCAACAAGCATCAGTGCAGTACTGTCACTTCTCCTAACTTGTGCTGTCGCTCTGTCTTTGCCTGCATAGCATCAGTGCAGGTAGCAACAGCTGGCTTGTCTCTGCTCTTCCAGGGCAACAAGAATGAGGATGCTTTCCCCAAAAGCAGCAATGGGCAGCCTGAGGCACGGCGACGGCCACCACCTGGCCCCAGGAGGTTCAGAGCAGCTGCTGCCAGCACCAGCGCCCCAGGGAGAAGGTAAATGTTGGTTCCCTGTGGCTCTGATCGCAGTCAGCTGTGTGCTTGCATGATGTGAGAGGAGTGCCCTGGGTGTGTTTGGAAAACACCTGGACACAAAGCAGCTCTATGTTAATAAGGTGGTATTCGATCTGTCACTGGATTTTAGTGAGCGTTCTATTGGCATTCAGCATCTAATCTGCCACTTTGGGAAAGCTTTGGAAGGGTGATATAGCCTTTATTTTTACAAAAGCAGAGGCTTTGTCCCAAGGGCAAGGCAGGGAGTGGGGCTAACTCTGGGCACAGCCCCGGGGTCTGCCTAGATGTCCTCGCATCCTCCCAGCTCAAATGGAGCTTGGTGTCAGTCTTGTCTTTGCTGTAAGCAGAGCATGGACAGAATGGCCTCCAGGGGTCCCTTCTGACCATTCTTTTTTTTCCTATGATTTTGTTCTATCATTTTTCTTCCAATGAGAAGAACTCAAAGCAAACACAAGCTGTCTTTTCATTCAGCAGAAAAACTTGTTTCTCTGAAATCCTTTGCTGGCAGAAAAACCCATAGTGCTGAACTTGGTCACAGATATCCTCATTTACTTCTAATGCTGCTTTTCATACCAAACTCAGCTATGTGCTTCAACATTAAACTTTAGGAGAGACCCGATACAGTGCTGACCTCTGTTGTTTTCTGTCCTGCCGCCCTGCAGGCCCTTCCTGCTGAACAGGGGACCAGGCTTCCAGCAGAAGCGGATGCAGCAGCGGTTCTCCAAAGCCTACATCCAGAGAGGGGTCAGTACAGAGGCATTTTTATACTACCTGCTGTGGATGACAACCCTTCACTTTTACCAGCCCTTGCCCAGTTTTATCTTTGCTTCCAAAATAACCAAGAGAGGTGGTTGCCAGTTGCTTTGCCTATGCAGCAAGAAACCCAAGAAAAAAAAGTTTTGTGATGACACAGAGAAAGAGCTTTTCAAAAGTACCAAACAAAATGCTGGAAAACGAATCACAGGTTCTGACTGATAATTATTTAACTGATCCTTTTTGTCATTGATTTCACAGCAAATGGATGCTAATGCAGAAGGGAAACCACCAAGAATGAGAAGGTAATTGGCGACAAAGGCACAGAATGAATGTGACTTGCTCTTTCACGCTTGAATTGAAGCTGGAGACATCTCGCTGTCTTGGCAGGTGGCAAGTGAAACCCAGCCCCGGAGCGGTTCTGACGGTTTCTGTGGCTAATCCCCAGGCGAGCCAGACCAACACGTAAGTAAATGAGTTGATTTGTTAGGATGGGAGCCCTACAAAAGCCATTGCTAATCCCTTTAGCGTTATCGCAGCTTCATGTTTTTTATAATAAGTGCAGAGCTAATGGTTCGGCCATCAAATGGTGAGCAAATGGTGTCTTGTTTTGGTGTATCTGAAAGGAGACAGTAATTATGTGTGGTTGGCTTGGTATCCAGAGCAAGGGGGAGTGGGAGCCAGGCAGCACATGGCTGCTCACGGGCTTTGTTGGAGCAGTGCTGAGCTGCTCTCAGGCACACGGCTGGAGGAGAGTGGCCTCAAGCCTGTGCTGTGCAGGGGCAGGATCTGGTAGGTGAGTGAGGGTAACTGGACCCAGAAAGCATTCCCTAGTAGCTGCAGTGCTGGAGCTCAGCTTGTACAGCTGCTGAGCACCTCTCCATAGAATCATAGAATCATTAAGGTTGGAAAAGACCACTAGGATCACCAAGTCCATCCATCAGCCCACTCCCACCATTTCCACTAACCATGTCCCTCAGTCCCATATCCCCATGGTTCTGGAGTACCTCTAGGGACAGGGACTCCACCACCTCCCTGGGCAGCCTGTGCTGGTGCATCATCACTCTGAGAAGTTGTTTTTCCTAATATCCAACTCAGACTTTCCCTGTCACAGCTTGACACCATCACCTTTCATCTTACTGCTGGGAGAAGAGGCTGACCCCCACCTTGCTACAACCTCCTTGCAGGGAGTTGTAGAGACCAGTAAGGTCTCCCCTAAGCCTTCTCTTCTCCAGACCAAACCATCCCAGTTCCCTCAACCATTCTCCATAAGATTTAACTCCAGACCCTTCACAGATCTGTTGCCCTTCTCAGGACGTGCTCACGCAGATCTCTGTGATTAACACTGGGAGAGGCATGGGCTGCACACAGATCTCTCTTAACCCTATTAGTTTGCAGATAACAGGGAGCCACCTGCCTCAGCTCCCTGTGTGACCACATACCTGTGCTTTCCCCCAGGCTCGGAGCCAAGCGCCCTTTCTTGCGAAACCAGAGGCCCCCGCCACGTATCACCAAGCCCCAACCCAAGGGGGTGATGCTGAGGTTCAACTTTCGTGCCATGGCCAACCAGGTAGAGGAGCACCGAGGGGACCGGCCACATCCCACACCCTACAGGAGCCCTGTTGCTTGGTTTTGGGGCTGCCAGCTGGGTTTATCTAGCACAACCCATGAGGACAGCCCTGCGGCCGTGTTGGCTTGGGTGCTCACCAAAATGGCAGCACCTGAGAAGACTATTTGGCAGCTACAGACTCATCCCTGTTACTTCTGCTCTGTTGGTCCCTCTTGTCCCATTTGTGTGCTTGCTCAGAGTGGGGAGGTGCTCCCTGGGAGCGGGCCTGGGCGAGGGCAGCCATGTCACCGCTGGTGCTCCCCCATCCTCAGAGAGATGCGGCACCTCTGGGCTTTGCTCTTTTTTTGCTTTGGAGGACTTTTCAGTGCCACGTTTTCCATGTTTTACTCCAAGAGCCCCGGGGCGGGTCAGAAATCCTGCTCCACCGTCCTTCATCGCCAGCTCTCCTTGTCTGGACGGTTTGTTTGCTCCTGACGCCCTGTGCTCACACGCCATCTGCTTGCTCCTGTTCTTGCCAAGGACGCCCGCTCTCTGGGGGCTGGGCACTGCTTGGAGGTTTTTCAGCCGCACACAGTCTGTCGAGCTCCTTGTCTCCATGTGATGGGTGGTTTAATTGACTAACCGGCTGCGACGCACCCTCCCAACTGATGGGCTCTAATCAATACCCTGCTGCAAGCCCGGCTGTGCTTGGCCACGAGCCGCAGGACTGACATGCTCTCCCTTTCCCCCGCAGACCAGCCTGACGCTGGATGAGAGGTTCTCTGGGCTGAGGAATAAGAGGCGCTTTGCAGCAGCCCGCAGCGCCCGCCGGACGGTCACCATGCCCTAGCAGCACGCACTCATCATGGGGACGGCGGGCAGCAGCCCGGGCCCCGTAACAGCTGGCTCAATAAAACTCGATAGATTCCCTCTGAGGTAGCTGATTCGACAACCTGCTGTCTACTTCCTTCCGTGCACAGTGAGCGAGTGATTGAGGGCAGGGATGAGGCGGCACTACAGTCAGGGCTCTACGCAGTGTAGGGAGGTGGTGGAAGGGGATGAGTGGAGGTGGACTTGCTGTGCTGGGCTCCATGGAGCGGGGGCCCCATTCCATCCCCCTGCCAGGCACCAGAGAAGGGAACAGCATTGAGTCCTTGGGCCTGCCCACTTGAGATACCAGCAAATACACCTTGGCTGTGCCAAGGATGTGCTCCATCATTCTCCACCTGAAAGCCTTACAGCGTGCAGCCAGGACCCCCGCCCAAAAGTTTGCAGTGTAGGACCTTCCCCATCCTCACAGTGCCTCGCCCTGCCTCGTTAGCAGCCCAAAGGCTCAGTTGGAGCGCCCTGCTATTCTGAGCACTGAGCAGATGGGTGGTCTCAGCCCAAATCTGTGCTTCCAGTGCTGTGTAGGTCTGCACTGGGGTGTTTGCAGGTGCAGCTCCACCCGTGCATAATCATGCTGATGTGGGAAGGAGGCCAGGCTACACAGCACTTGGCTGAGAAGTTAATGAGCTGAGATGAGACGTTTGTTAATGAAGCCCCGTACCAAACATGAGTTGCTGATCCATTCTCTGCCCACTACTGCAGCCAACACTGAGTGAGCCAAGCACAGCCTGTTACTGGGCCCTAAGCTGTAAGTAAAGAAGTAAATATTTGATAGACTGCTTTACATTTTACACTGAGTGTCTTTAACAAGAGACCAGATTCGGGGTTGATTTTATAGGAATGTGTGAAATGTTGCTAGCTGGTTGATTGAGCAGTGATGTATGAATCCAATGCACTGAATAAAAAACCTGTCAAATGGCACCTCCAGTTATTTCGTCTCATTTAACAGGGTTTGGGTGCAAGCTCAGCCTCTTGGCGTGGTCCTCAAGGGGTGCACAGCCACCTTGGGTGCCCTCTCCCTGTTGCTTCTTTGCCCACTCTGCACATGTGAGTGAGCAGTTGGCCACCCCTTGGCAGCATCACTGCAGCATTTGACCTCCTGCCACCATTTCTGTGGGTCAAATGACCTCTGAAGCAGCAGGAGGTTTTAAATAGGCTCCTTGTAAAATCTCAGTTGTTACTCTGCTTCTGCTTTTAATGCTATCAGCAAAACTATCAGAGCAGACCTGGCTCTGAGTGCATCTGAAGTGAAACGAATGCAAACGGGTTTCCAGCCTAATGAACTGAGGAGGGGAACTCATCTCTTCATGCAAATAGTGCAGAAGTCACTGGAGATGAGCAGGAAATACAGTCACAAATGACAATAGATCTGACTGCAATTGTACCTTTGCTGTAAGTATGGACAAACGATGGGAGATGTGCTAAGAATAACCTGATACCTCACACCATGCTATGAAGGCATGGAGTGATTCTGTCCTTGTGTTCAGCATCCCCTGGGTGTTTAGAGCTCACCCTGATATTCCTCTCCTAGGAGATGTTTATTAGCAATCCCTACCTTATATTTTTCTAAGGTTTAAATTAAAATAAAGGAATTGATGATAAAAGGTATGCTTTCTTTCTAGCCTGATTCCTGCACAGGGCTCAGTGAATTTCCATGAAACAAGAGACAAAAAGTGGCTGTGCAGAGAAGGGCACCGAACTTACAAGCAGCAAGAAGTCACAGCCAACATGCTAAAAACACAGTAGGAGGGGGGCACAGAGTCAGTTTGCTCCAACAGGCATAAGAAATCCTCCTTTTTCTGTACTGAAACAGCAGAATAATGCTCTCTAAAGTTATACCAGTGCTGCATTCTTCTCTGCTCACCTTCTTTCCAGGAGCAGAGCCTCAGTACAGCCCAGTGCCCGCACTCTGGAGGTTTATCTGTGGCTGTGATCGCCTTTGCAGCAATCCAGCTCTGCTATAGCTGCTGGAGACTGCAGGACTGAAGCCAGCATGATATTTGAGATGGATTTGTACGGGGACTCTGTGTTGTTTTCTGTTCTTTCCTAACAATTCCCAACATTCCACTTGCTTTTGGACCCAGAGTAGCAGTTTGGGGTAGGAAATAATGTGACACACTTATGCTGATTTAATGAAACAAGTTTCCAGACATAGATTTCAGCTTCCCAGCAAACACCTTCTGCAGAAGCTGTTCTCACAGCACATGTAGAGAGCACACCTGGAACAACTGCCTGCAAGAGATGGGCCCAAGGGACCCGACTTCTCTATCTGATCCTTCATGCTGACATTTGGTATTTGCTGTTCACTGGGTGCTTTGGTTTGATGCTAATAGCTGTCTTTAATGAGCTTAACAGACAGGGAGAAAAGGCCAGCTTTCCCTGCTCACCAGTTCTTGTTGCTTTTAGTGCTGTGTGACCGGGATTTGTGACTTCCCAATGTTTGGGGCATTGCTGTCCCAGTAGCACGGGGCAGAGGGCAAAGCAGTGCCTTGGGAACAGCATGGCTGTAGGGACCTCGAGAATAGAAATACTTTGGGCACATCCAATCTATCCTGGCAACAGAGCAGCAGCTGAGGCATGGAGCAGGGGGCTGGAGCATGTGCCAGCAATGGAAAGAGGAGCTGCTCTCCCCAAACGCCAAGTCCTCTCCGGTAAGAACCAGCTGCAATTGTACCTCCAGCACTTAGCAATGGCTGCAGCAATCTCTCTTGCATTGCACTGGGGTTCTTGTGCCACCATTTGCCAGGCTGGCTGCAAAATGAGGGCAGGCAGTGCATGAACTCACTGCCCAGCACGGGGTGCAGCCTGCTATCAGCAGCAGTTGCTGTGCTTTAGGGGTTCTTGAAGGCACTCAGCCAGAAGCTACAGGCAAAATGCTTGAAGAGAAACCTGAGATCCAAACGTTGTCTCAGGCACCACAGCTCCTGTGAGGGCTGGGATAAACTGAGCAACAAGCAGAGCACCAGCCAGGCAGGAACCAGGAAAAGAGAATCACGATGGACTGATAAAAGATTCTTAAACCCCCAGGTTGAATGGACAGGTGCCCCTCACTGTGGTATAGCAATGGGCAGGATGCCTCTGCAGCCAGCTCTGCTCCGTGCCCCACAGAGATGGGGATGAAGCTCTGCTCTATTCCCTGAAAATGGGACAATTCTTTCCAGAATCTGACCAATAGCCTCTTCACTTCCATTTGCAAGAGAGCTGTTTTTCCTCAGTGCAGGTCTCATTCACTGAAGTCTTATTCCCTCTGTTCATCTGAATCAATCCTGACCATTTTTATAGGGAACATAAAGTGCTAAGACGTGGAAGAAAAAGGGACAGAAAATTAGATTTGTTCTTTATCCACTCAATAGCAGGGGTTAGGATTTAGCACTGAGCCATGTCCTAAAGGAGATCCTTCCCATCTACATCAGAACTGCTGCCAGCTCTCAGGGTTTTACTGGAAATCCTGTGATGGTGAATGCTGCAGTAAAGCCCCATTTCCTGGAGACAGGTCAGAAGGCAAATGTCTCAGCTTGCCTATATTAAAAAGTAAATTCCCAATGCTGCGTTTGTGCAGGGAAAACCATGGCCCAGGAGTAACTTAAAATCTCAAACGTCAAATTAAATTAAAAAAAAAAACAATGCTTTTTTTGGGGGGATGTCATATTTCTAAATCTACCTCCTGAGGTTTGGAGCTTGACTCATGACTCTGAAATGCTCAGAGCACACTGAGAGACCAAAGTGAATCTACAATCACTTCTCAGTGTGGATGAGAATCTCTGCATTGCTGCCAGCACTTTGAGACCTCCATCCTCTCATCTCCCAGTGTGCTTTGTCTCACTGCAGACCACGTTGGTTGCAGAAGCTCTGACACAGCAAGAGATCTACTCTCTCCAAAGGTCAAGACCAGGGGAGGGTAAAAAGAAGATGCTTAGCTCTAAATCACACCAGGCTGTAGCTATTAACTATACTCCTGCTGAACTCCAGGAGGAGGAGGGCAAGGCACACAGCCTTCCCACCCCGTGCCCTCTGAGCAATGGCACTGGAACCCTCCAGCCATAGAAAGTGAGGATGTCCCCATTTCTGGCCACGAATAATGGAGGTGTACCATGAGGTGATGGAGTGTGGTGACTGAGGGGAATCCTGGGGTGCAGCTCTGCCAGGGAGCACCACCATGTGATACCACTGTGCAGGACAGCAGTGTTCAACTCTAGCTATGTTACACCACATAAAGCTTTGTGAAGAAGGTGGCTGCAGCAGCTCTGGGCTGCAGGGAGCACGCACCCTATGTATAGAATTTCCCCTGCCCAGAGGCAGCGCAGCACAGTGATTCATCTGTGCATTTCCTCAAAGGTTCTCACTGTCAACCAATCCTAGGTTTCTTAGTTGACCACAGTTAGTGCTGGTATGCAGAAAATGCCTGGGTCTGAGCAAAGGCAGGAATCCCACTGCAGTACAGCATCTCTGAGCTGCCTGCTCTGTATTAATTGACAGAGCAACACTCAGTGCTCAAGCCCCAGTTTCCATTCTACCATTCTGTAGTTATAATATTTCCACAAGATGGCGAATAGCCTGTGAAAAACCTCACCTGAGGAGGGACTGAGCTGAGGTGTCCATCGGGGTCTGTCTTCTCTATCAGCTGTGGGATCTCGTGGGTCCTCAAGCAGCATGGACTCAGAATGAATGGTCCAACATGCAGCGAGCACTGGTGCAGGACACGTGGCACAGCTGAGGGTTTGTTCACTGTAAGAGAGGCTGAGGTCAGGTACCTTTATTTGCACACTAGTGGTGCTGGAAATTGCTTGTGGTGCAATGGAGAAAGAATGCAACTCAACAGCTAGAGACAGGAACAAGATTTCCTTTCTCTCTGTATAAATCTGTAAGCTGTTCAGAATTTTTTATTTTTATTTTTATTTTTTTTGCAAGAAACAGCAAAACCACCAACTAATTCCCCCTCAGCACAAGAGTAAAACAGATTCCCCAGGGATCTCAGGTTCTGGAAGAAGAAAAGCCTTTTGAAAGAAATCATCAGCATTCTCCAACTCTACATGAGTTCTCTCCCTCAGTGATAGCTGTGGGAAGGGAAAGGGGATCACTGAGGGGCAGGGGGATGACCGCAGCTGCATGCACAAAGCTCCCTCTGTTGCACATCCACACACAGATCTTCTGCAGGGCTGGGACACCAGGCAGTAGGAAGGAAGCTGATGAGACAGAGGCATTTTGCAGCCCACCGTGGCCAAAGGGTTTTTCCACAGCAGTCACAAAGTGCTGCAGGGGATGTCTGGGTGTCAGCATGTACCAAAGACCTCCTTGTTCCTTGGGTCTTCCAGGGCAGCACATCCCAGCGCTCATCCAACTGGCACAACCAACGCCCTGCTCCCTGCAGCATGCAGCTGCCATTCCTATACCCAAATGTGATGAAAGCAGCATTTAACCACACCTTTGGAAAACTGGGTTACGTTTTCACAGCTACCCAGCAGCACACCAGCAGCCCCAAGGACTGGCTGCACTGCCATTCTGGAGTTGCCTTGGCTTTACTCGGTGCAGCAGGGCTAACATCAGGGTCAGAAGCACCTTGATTCACACTAGTGAACACATCTGGTCATGAAGCCACAATGCAGATGAGCAACAGAGTGCTTCTGGAAGGAAAAGGGGCTTTTGTTTATCACCTGTGGGATGTTGTGGAGATGTGGGATTTGTATCCTCCCCCAGCTCTTGAAGAGAACCAGAAGCATTCTCAGAAAACCACTGTGCTTCATCAGAAGCTTTCACTGCTACAAATGAAGCAGGTTTTTATACAGGTTATTACATACAAACATCCTGACAAGATGGGATATTCAGCTTTCTCTCTTTTGTATGCTTTGAATCAAGGCTTCAGCCCTGCTTGACACTTTGCAGTCTCCACCCTACACCTTATCAGCACCTGCAGGTGCCATTCT